ATCCTTCTGTTATATATATATATATATATATATATATATATATATATATATATCCTTAGTTGAAGGAATCAAATGTATTTGTGAAATTCTATAACCGAAGTTCCATATGCACAACATATGAATTGACAGTCCCCGAAACCGGAATCATTGGCCAAAGTTTTGAATTCGGCCCGAGTTCTCTGTTTCCCTCCAGGCGTTGAAATAAGCATGCCAATATCATCGAGGGTCGCTATCTTTGAAGAAACATCGCTCTTAGGTTCATCAGGGAAAACCGACTCCACGACAATCAGTTTACCGCTGCTCTGAAGAGCCTCGAAGCAATTCTTGAGGATCTTCAAGCAGTTTTCGTCGTCCCAGTCATGGAGGATATTCTGCATACATAGAGATCGAATATATTCAAACAAAAAACACCGCCGTATAGAAAAAAGATTTAAAAAGAAGAGTGTCTAATATTGTGGTTACCCTCAAGATTATGGCATCGCCTTTTGGAACACTTGTGAACATATCTCCGCCTATATGCTCAATATCTAAACAAGCAAATTAACCAATATCAGAAGACAGAAGAAATGAGAGAGATGTGATTCTCGTAATGAAAACACAGAGCTTGAACCTGGATGGGAAGGTGCTATTGCCACGACGTGAGGCATATCGAAATTTACGGCCTTGATGTTTGGATACTTGGCGGCGATGAGGCGGAGGGTGGCTCCGGTTCCACCTCCCACATCGACCAAAACCTTTATGCCTTGGAAGCCTCTGTAAATTCCTACAACCTTCGACATGACAAGCTTTGTCCAACCCGACATTGCCTCTTGGAACAACACATTGATCCCTTTATCCTTTGTAGTGTACTCGAATGCCGACATCCCATACGCCATTTCAAATACGTTCCCCCCTTTGAGAAGTGACTCAGTAAACTGGCTCCTGAATTTGTATAAACACAGACTAATTCATGTGATATCCATGCAAACCAGTTTTGTGTATAGACAAAAACCTAAAGATATAGATCGAACTCATGAACTTTGAGAGTTGAACAAGAGCCTCAGCCATTTGAACACTCAAGAATGCGAAATCTTTAAATAGTTTATTTTCATTTTGATCGAACCCGATTCGAGGATTACCAGCACAACCGGGATAGGTCACAGTTGAGCATCATGAGTAAAGGACCAAAGGAACCATCTTGATCCCCATCTTTCACCAGAAACCGACAAATTGGTTTAGCCCGGTATGCAATCTCCACCTTTTCTCCAGTCTGAACCCTACGGCACTCAACGATAGAGTAACTTGCAAGTAACCTCAGCACACGGTTCAACATGTCCGGAGCATTAGGGTTTGTTGGAACACAAGGCAGCCGAAGAGAGATTTCAGAAGGGGAGAGGAACGAGCCACCCTCAGCTGCTGCCACGTGGAGGGCATCGATGAGACCGAGCTCGATGGCCGATCGCAGTACCCACGGGAGCACTCCCGAGAAAGCAAGCCTCCTTGCTTCTCCTCCGAGTTCTTCATCGCTTTCTTGTTTAGAGTTAGCGTTTCTCTGTTCTTGAAAGTTGATGACTTTGTTCATTTTTAATCAAATTTTGATTGAAGAAATGTTAGATTGACTAACGATGAAAAATAGAGTGTTTTTAGTTGTTCTCACTTTGCTTGTTTAAATAGCCTTTATAAATTTAGCCAAAATATCACAAAAAAGCCGTTTTTTTAGGAGTAAATGTGACATTTAATAAATTGATAGCACTTAATTTTCTTTTCCTTTATTTCTTATATATATATAAGTTGCTTTATAGTACATGAAACCTAACTTCTAACGCTTATATGCATGCCTGTAAATTAAACGATGTAAGCGTGTTACAAACTTCTAGCATTGGACTTAACGATACTTTGGACTATTCTTCACATAATGTCCAAAAGTCAAACATTTCAAAGATAGAGGATGGTTACACAGAAATATGGCGAAAACTTTGAGAAAGTAGAAAATTTTATGTTCTTGTTAAATAATAATAATAATTAAAAGGTACGGTTTGAACTTTGAACCTATGAGCTTTAGAACGTAAACCCAAACCCTAACAAAAGCCATGGCTTGGTTTCTTATTTATTTCGAATATCAACGACATCTATATATAAATATGATAATTTTGATTGGTTTGATATAGAAATCTCATCACTTAGACTAGTCTAATATTTTCTGCATTGGAAAACTAGGGTTTTTTTTTTTGGTAAACGGTAAATTGTATTAAATACAACTGACCAGATACAGCGAAGAGAGTTTTAAGTTACATCAGCCTAATGACCCAAAAATTCAGGAGCCAAACATCATAAAGTTACGGAACCAAAAAAACATGATAGTATCCCCTGCAGCGGGAGGTGATAAATCGGCCTGAACCGAGGAAAGCTTCCGTCGAGTGAACCGAATAACGTCCTTACGGAAAACTAGGGTTTGTTTTTGGATTTCTCTTCCATTTCCTTTGCGTTTAGTTTGCACGATCGATATTGTTTAGTAGTAGTTTTTTTGGTAAAATTGTTTAATAGTAGCTGTCACAGTGGCTGTAAAATTACAAAAAAGCAAAAACAAAAAAAAAGGGTAGTCATCGCATAACAAATATATTTCATTTTTTTTTATTTATTAGTGTATAACATAGAAACTAAAACTAACGAGTGTAGAATTTTATTAACGGGTAAATAGATATTTAACAATCACATCCATTATCTTTCAATTATGGAAAACAAGTCTCCCGTTGCCATATGATGCGGTCGGTCCATTTCAGGTGTTCTTGTGGAACTCTATAACCCAACATCCGTATGCGGAGCAAACGAGTTCACAAGCGGCAAAGCCCGAGTTTAGAGCTAAAGCTTCGAACTCGGCCTTAGCCCTCTCTCTCCCTCCCTCGAGAAAAGCTAACATCGTCACATCATCAAGTGCGGTGATGTCGGAACAACCATCGGTCTCGAGAAACACCGCTTCGATCGCTATCACTTTGCCCTTGTTTGGAAGAGCCTTCCTGCAGTTCTTGAGGATCTTCAAGCAATCTTCGTCGTTCCAATTGTGGAGGACAAACTACAAAAAAGTTTATTCGTTAATACCAAATATATAAAAGACTATTAATAAATCTTCTGGAATTTTCTTTTACCTTCAAGATTATGGCGTCACCTTTGGGAATGCTTTCAAACATATTTCCACCGACATGCTCCACACCTATATACACGTGTGAAATGCTTGTATACAAAATGAAAGCACCACATGTTTTATCGGAAAGTACAGAATTTCAAAAGCCAAATATTAAAGTTTGAATCGATCCCCTTGAGGATTAATTTGTGAATGTGAGTGAGTGAACACCCTTTTACCAAAAAGAAAGAAAAATAATAACAAGATTAGCTTCATAAAGAGACCTGGACGAGGAGGGGCGTTGGCAATAACATGATGGAGATCATAGTTTATGGCCTTAATCTTTGGATATTTCGCAGTGATTAGGCCGAGGGTGGCTCCGATTCCGCCTCCCACGTCGACCAACGCATTCAAACCCCGAAAGCCTTCATAAACTTCTAGAAACTTCCTTATTAACAGCTTTGAAAAACCCGACATCGCCCTGTCGAATAAGCCTCCCATCCTTTCATCCGCTCCAAAGTACTCGAAGGACGACATGCCGTACTTTCTGTGGAACGTGCTCCCGCCTTCGAGTATCGCTTCGTTCAAATGGCTCCTATTAATTTTGCGTATGGACAGATTTCTTCAATATAAGATTTGTTACACACACGTAAACCATATTATCCAAACTCCCACTAGTCCTCTCGCGCCATATTCACGTGTCTTTTACCCGCTCTTAAACTTTGCGCATCTTTAATTTCTTTCTAATTAATAGAAACAATTTCTGTAAATTTTTTTTTCTCATTACACCCCGGCTGTCAAATTTTTCTTGGACTCGGAATTCAGAAACTTATTTAGTCAGAGAAAAGCACTTAGGGTTCAAAATAATCATTTCCTTGCATAATACGCATATACATATATATAATCATTCATATATACGTATGTATGTATGTATTTACCAGCAGGAGACGTTGACGATATCATTGTTAAGCAAGAGGAAAGGTCCCAAAGAACCCTTTTCGTCTCCATCTTTCAATAGAAACCGGCAAATCGGTTTAGCTCGGTACACACTCTCCAGCTTCTCTCCGGTCTGGACCATACGGCAGTCGACGACTGAGAAGCTCGCCAGTAACCTCAACACACGGTTCAACATGTCCGGAGCATCTGGATTTGTCGGAACAGAAGGTAGCCGGAGGGCGATTTCAGAAGGTGAGAGGTACACGCCTGTGCTTTCCTCAGCTGCCATGTGGAGGGCATCGACGAGACCGAGCTCAACCGCTGATTTCAGCACCATCGGAAGCACTCCCGACAAAGCTAGCCTCCTTGCTTCTGTCCCAAGTTCTTCGTCATCTTCTTGTTCATGAAGTGGTTTAGGGTTAGGAATTCTCTGTTTTTGGAAGTTGCTAATTTTGCTCATCTTAGTCCAATGTTGTGTTGTCAGTGATGCGCCCAAACAATAAAACGAAGCATGGTATGATCCTCATTTCGCTTCTTTAAATACGTAGTGTAAGGCGTTAATTAAACGCCAAAAATTACTTGATAGCACAAAATTTGGACTCACAACTAAATATAAAGTTATTAGTTGCTTTATAAAACATTATTTTAAAAACTTTTATATCCATATAAACTACAAATTATATAAATTTACAATATTTACATGAAAAGATGTGAAAATATATGCAACCCAAGAATTGAATAATCTACTTCAACAATTATTTCAAACTTTCTAGCCTTAGAAGTTTTGGTCGATTAAGATAATTGATTACAGTGGTCATCACTTCCTTGATGTAAACAACTTTTTTTCAGTTTAAAAAACTAATGTCATGTGTATAGAATTGAAGAGTTTATTGTAATTATATATTCTAGAGGTAATTCCAATAAAAATCCTATATTTTTTCCTTGTTGTAATTTTAACTACAATTTTAACCATGTATTTTTTTATTTAAATAAACTCTATATTTATTATATCTAACAATAAAATATCTATATTTTTAAAATTTTGGCAAATAAAATCATAAACTAAAAAATTGATTATTCAAACATTGTATCCTAATCATCCATCACATCATCAACCGCATAATGTGTAATAATATTGATTAATAAAAATAATAAAAAATTATAATAATAATAATAATAAAATAATAAAAATTATTTATATACATTCATATACATATATCACACATATACATATACATATACATATACATATACATATATACACATATATACATACATACATATATATATATATAATAACACATGGATATGTATACATATATAACATATACATATATATGTATGTGTTTATATTCAAAACATTATATGTGTATATATGTCTATGTGTATATATGTATACATATATGTGTATGTATATATATGTATATATGTGTATCGTGTATGTATATGTATATACATATATGTATGTATTTTATATGTATGTATGTATATATATATATATGAATATATATATATAAGTAATTTTTATTATTATATTTTATTTTTTATTAATATTCTTATAATTTTTTTTTATTATTTATTTATTAATATTATGAAATATTATGTGATTGATGATGTAACGAATGATTAGGATGTCATGTTAGCATTGAATAGTCAATTTATTTGTTTAGAATTTTGCTTGCCAACTTTTTAAAAGTATAGATATTTTATTGTTAGATATAAATGTAAGGTTAAAATTACGCCGGGAGAAAAATACATTATTTTTAATGGGATTTCTCTTATATTATATATATGTTGATGGTGTGGGATTTTTGAAAGCCAGGGAGGCATACATTCATCTATTTTAATAATATTGTCGAAAAAAATATATCAATAGAATACAATAAGTAATATGATGTATAATATAATAGCAAAAAAAAATCTTATTTATATTGAAATAATATTGTTTTTGCAATTAGTATAGAAACATTTGACCGAAGAAAAGTACGGTGATGGCATGAACCAACAAATTATAAAATAAATAAAAAATACCTGTAATAAAAATAAAAGAAAAATATAAGGATTTTAATTTATTCCATAAATAAATTAAAATTTGATAGAAAAAAGGAAAAATAGACGAAAAATATTAACATAATAGAAGTTAAAAAGAAAAAGAAAACAAAAAAGGATTAGGGGCTAGAAAAACCCAAAGAATATGATAAGTAAAAATCGACTGAAAAAGACAGATGAGAAAAAAAAACTTAAATTTATGTAAAAAACATATCTAAATATTTAAAGAAACTCAAAATCTATAATATAATAATGGAGGTGAAAGATTTGGAAAATTTAAACTAAGAAATAAAAAAAGTATAAACCCACGTAAAAGGAAATAAAAAAAAAAATTAGAGGTAGGAATTGTAAATAATGACAGTAAAATGGAACTGAGAATTGTTTTACAAAAATGTGCAAAATATGGGATATGATATGATTGAATAGCAAATTGATTACACGGCGAATCAATAATCGACACTTTTATTTCAGGTCAGTTTTAATTTCGAATTAAAATTTTCGATTAGTCCAAAGTTGACTGCCCGTTTTTGTGGTGTTTTTGTATTTGGTTAAATGTAATCAATTCGTGTTGTTAGTAGATGAAATATAATCGATATCACTCTTTCTTGAACAAAAAATCATCATAAAAAATAAGAAAGAAAAAAATCAATTAATTAAAATTAAAATATATAAAACTATTAGATAATAAGAAATATAACGAATGAGGATGAGAAAAAAAGGAGACTTCATTTAAAGCAATGACAAATGGAATTAAAAAAAAATTATAACACAAAAGAAAAGAAATATATATTTTTTTCGATGCAAGTTTTCATCGTCATTTTGTCCTTGGGCTTTAGGATGGAACTTTTTTACGCATCGTTATTTTCGTCGTATTTATTTAACGTACTTTTCAGCCAACGTGGAAAATATGATTAAAAAAAGGAGAGTTATAAAAAAAAAGAGAGAGAAGTAACATTTGTTAACTAATGTTCTAATCTCTACACAATATTTCTATTTAGGGTTGCAAAAATATCCAAGCTTTTTAAATTTCAAGAATTAGATTTTACGAATAAGATGATTCATAAATTGGATTTAGATTCCAATTTACGATTAGATATCCTATCAACATATAAAAACTATTTTTTTTTTCTTATTTTATTTCCGAACATTATTGTTTTTGGTGGTTATGCGATTTAGATACGCCGGCTCACGGGATATTGGAATTCGAATAAACCGAAATCTTAAATGCTTAGATCATCCAGTTCCAGTCTCGTATAAACCCTAATCGTATCAGATTTGACGCAAATCCTGATTTGGATATTAAACGTATATGGGCCGAGTTTAGGCCCATATATTTTAACATGGGCCCATCACCACCTTGCTGGTGATCATACGAACGGGAAAAAAATATATATATTTTGAATGAATCTAATATCCATATTTTGAATGGCCCAATATGCAGACGCTTTTCCTTCATTTAACCAATTTTTCAAAATCGAAACAAATCAAATTTTTAAAAAACTGAAAAACCAAAAATTTATTAAAAAAGTCTATTTTTTTTAATAAAAATTGAACAGAACCGAAACCGAAACTAAAGCGCCAATTCTAAATATAAAATAATATCCGATTGTTACATATTTTTTAGAACGAAAAATCCGGACCGAATCCACAAACGTCAATGTTAGGTCCATTTACTCTTCGCCACAAACCTTTATTCATTTATATATTTATTTATTACAGAAAAAGCAAACGACAACAAGAAAGAGAAACATGATTGATTCAACAGAAGCAGATTATTGAGACAAAACCATAAAAGGGGACAGCAGTTGGCGTGTTTTGTTCCTCAAGGGATCTCAGTCTTTGTGGAATTCGATCACCCAACTGTAGTAAGCACGGCAAACGAACTCGCAGCGGTCGAAGCCCGATCTCTTGGCCAAAGCCTCGAACTCGGCACGGGTCCTCTCTTTCCCGCCCGCACACAGCGCCAGCAACA